CTTCAGAAGGCTGCCTTTGATAATATACCTTAGCAAAGAAACCTCTGCTCATGCTCCCAACGACTCGAAAACTTACGTATACAGAGCTCCACCAGTCTCTCCTGTGTCTTCCAGAGTGGTACGATAGACGATCGGAATTCTGATAATGAGCACCGTGCTGATATATATTCATGCATATCCGGACTCGCTACCCGCAGCGATTATTTTTGCAGTTATAACGGTACTGGATTTCGATTTTGTCTTTTCCACGATCCAGACAGACACGCTCCCCCAGTGTTAGATACTTCTTATGGAAGTGCCTAGATCAAGTGAAGACCAATGACAGCTGTAGTTCAGCCTGCGAGATTACGTGTTCTCATCGAGGGCCAGGGCACCGTCCGTCGAGCGCCTGGGCAGTTCGTCCAACAGACAATCCGTCACCAAGGCCATCTGGCCACACAGGGAGCAGTAATACCTACCATAGGACAAATTTCGATTTTCTAGTCCTCTCTTCTTGTATCATTCACCACGCTGGTTCGAGAATGTGATTGATAACATCGACTCAACTTACTGGTAAAGCTTTCCTTTAGATTTGAGATGGCTGTCCTCGCTCGTATACTCTTCCATCTAAAAACGAATAGCGTCCGCGGGTCAACTCTTTTTCGCCTTCTCTCACTCAGACAAGTCGAGTGGTCCCATCTATCGAACATATCTACATACATGCCACTCACCTGGAAACGCTTATAACCACCATCCTGGTCCTGCATCTCGTCTCGATCCCTACGAAGATTCTCCAGATGACGGTGCTTGAGATCCAACAGAGTAGGCTGAAACAGGAACAATCCACGAGACAAACATTGCGACGAGTTAGATCTCTCCCGAAAAGAATCCTCCATGAACATACCCACAAACTCGCATTAATTTCGAGAGCGTTCGAAGATGCACGCTCTACAAACTGAGTTCCTTGAGCGCATATACCCTCCGCGACATGCAATGAGTTGCCCTACAAAAAGCTCCAGGCGTTCCACCCGATACCCACCCCTTCGTCAT